GGACTCCAAAAAGAACATAACCCCAGTTCTAAGTGTTTCCTTCCTATTATACTTTATCTTTTAAGTGAGCTTTCAACTGAATGAGTATTTTACTTAGCTTCAGTTTTGAAGGCCCTTCCAAGAATCACACTTGGCGTTCTGTGCTTTACCAATCTGCCTATAAGACCACATGGGCTCTTCCTTCAGACATCCTGGCTCTCAGCAGGGCCCTCGCATGGCCAAGCGTTCATCCTCCAACCCTCTAGGCCGCAGCAAGGAGCCATCCCCAGCACTGAAATCCATTTTAGCTTCCTTGGTAGTTCTGTCATCTCACTCACAGAACCCACACACACCTGCTACCCCCCAACCTGGCTTCTCAGAAACCTCACCATGTCCTTAGCAGATGGGTTGGAAAGAGAGTTAACTTTACTCTTTCCAGAAGTAAGTATTTTGCAAGGTGGATTCGACATCCCAAATTGAAATGCCCTGGTTGGTAAAATCTAATCCAGAGTTCTTTTAAAAACAATAAAACACTCAGATTACGTTAGTTTAATGAGTGCTTATAGTTCCTCCCAATGCAATGATATCCCTTCTCTACACTTCAACCCAGAAAATACAGAATCCCCATTGTAACCCCTGTGATTTTTTGTGGTAACAGCACCTCTTGTCTTAACTGGTTTTATAATCCTTACTACCTGGCAGTCCCTGAATTCTGCAATACCCTGTTCTCGATCCTGATCCTCAATACACTGCAACTCCACTCTTCCTTTCCAATTCTACCACCACATTCTGTGTCCAGAACAATAGTAGCTGCTCATTAAAACGTAAAGTTAGAATAACATGGCTGATACCTTTGCTTCTAAAACACAATGGTTGTACTCTATAAACAGGAGAAAATCTGTGATAAAGGAAAATTAATGAAGTTGTTCTGAAGCTGCCAAATTAAGTGATACCATCGTTGCCTCAGTAATCCAAATAACTTGTGAGCCCCAGAAAAACAAACAACCAAAATAAATCCCACAAAATACTTCTCAAAGTTTAAGAACATCCCTGCTACCGTGTAAATGTGAGATCAACTAAAGTTTCCTTTATTGGGAAAAAAGACATTAAGAGATAGCATTATGTATAGAACAGTTGGGTGTATGTACTTTGTTATATACTTTGAGGATGATAATTTTACACTCTTATCAGGCAAAAAGGAGGCCTGGTGGCACAGTGGTTAAGAGCTTGGCTGCTAATCAAAAGGTCAGCTGTTCGAATCCACCAGCTGCTCCCTGGAAACCCCCTGGGACAGTTCTACTCTGTCCTATAGGGTTGCTATGAGTTAGAATCAACTTGATGGCAATGGGTTTTGTTTTTTGTTTTTTTTTGTGAGACAATGTGAAATGGAAGAAAGGGGAGGGGACATATCAAACGAACCTAATCTCATCAAACGCACGTTTTTGTCTTGATTTCAGAGGGAAAAATGGGGATTGTTATCTTAAAAAGCACAACAGTATCACCACAGCAAATCAAATGATACACTTCTTCACTGAAGAAGTTCAGAGTCAAGTGCACACTGTGGGGGCAGAGTGAAGGGCTGGGGGGACTGGGCGTGGGAGAAGGGGAGATTATCAAGTACACGGAAGAACACGATGCTAAGGCTGAGAACGCCACTGAAGGAGAAAGCTCGTCAGTAACAGAGACACCTGAAACTGTACAGGTGGAGAAATGCCTTCCGCTCTCCCAACATGAACGCTACTTGTGGGAGTTGACCACTTCGAGCCAAGGACAGAAAGTACTGAGCATGTATTGTATGACTCTGTTCAGTGTGTGTGTGTGTGTGTGTGTGCGCGCGCGCACATGTGTGCGGTGTGTGTGTGTGTGTGCGTGGTGTGTATGTGTGTGCACGTGTGTGGTGTGCGTGAGTGTGAGTATGACTCCTACACAGAGTCTATAGCCAGAAGCAATGGAAATGGTCTAGCCCAGCTATGAAGTATCAAAGCTCATAGTCAAAGCAGGTCATTTTCTTCGGAATATTCTAATTTTACTAAATTTTGGTTTCTCTATGGTATTTAAATTACATAATCAATAGTTTCAGTCAACAAACATTTATTGCCATGCACAAAAGAGAATAATAATAACGACAGCTATCATTTAGGGAGGATTTACTCCCCGAACTGGCCAGGCACTGCGCTAAGCCTTTACATTAGTCTCCTATTGTTGCCCTAACAAATTACCACAAATGCTGAGATTTAAATGGCATCCGTTTATTAGCTCACAGCTCAGTAGATCAAAAGTCCAGGGTTAGTGTAGTTCACTGGATTTCTGTTCCGAGTCACACAAGACTGAAATCAAATCAGCAGCAAGGCTGCATTGCTTTCATCTGGGCATGAACTGGCTTCCAAACTCATTTAGGTTGTTGGCAAAATTCAGTTCCGTGAAGCTGCAGGACTGAGGTCCCTGTTTCCTTGCTGGCTATCAGCTGGGGGTCATTCTCAGATCGTAGAGGCTGTCTGCATTCTCTAGCTCACCAAACCAAAAACCAAACCCACTGTTGTCGAGTCGATTTGATTCCGACTCATAGCAACCCCACAGTTTCTGAGGCTGTAAATCACTACCGAAGCAGACTGCTACATTTTTCTCCCGTGGAGCCGCTAGTGGTTTCGAGCCACTGACCTTTTGGTTAGTAGTCAGTCGCTTTAATCACTGTGCCACCGAGGCTTCTTTCACACAGCCTTTTTTAAAGCTACAACAGGTCTTGGATGTCCCCTCCTGCCTCGTCTCTCCAATACATCTCTTCTGCGGAATCTCTAACTGGTCTTCTTCTTCTGGTTTTAAGGGCTCATGGGATTACCTTGGAGCCCTGGTGGCAGAGTGGTTAAGAGCTCAGCTGCTAACCAAAAGGTCAGCAGTTTGACTCCACCAGCCGCTCCTTGGAAACCTTATGGGGCAGTTCTACTCTGTCCTATAGGGTTGCTGAATCGACTCGATGGCACTGGGTTTGGTTTTTTGGTTTTGGTGATTACATTCAGCCCTCTCAGATAATCCAGGATAGTCTCCCTATCTTACATTCAGATGATTTATAACCTTAATTCCATCAGTCAAGTCCCTTCACAGCAGTACCTAGATTAGCCTTTGACTAAATAACTAGGGGAGGGAGGCCTGGGGGACACAGCTTCAGAATGCTGTCTACCCCAGCCTTGTTACATGTGTTACCTCAATTACCCCTCAAGGCAGCCCCAAGGAAGTCTAAGTGGAAAGTGAGCCAATTCATCTATTATCTAAATAATTCATTTCACTCTACAAAAATTACACCTAACCCCAAAATACATCTCAGACAGATTACTATTTAAATGTTAAAAAATGGAACAAAAAACACCATGGTTGAATATTTACCTAATCTTGGGACGGTTACAGCCTAAAAGAAGAAGAAATAGCAATGGGGAAATGAACAGATAATACTATATAAAATTAAAAAATTTCAATGAAATTAAAAGGCTAATTAAAATGCTGCTTTTAAAACCTTTACAGGCTTTCTTCCTTTCCCTGCTCCCAAATTTTAAGTGTGGCTGGAGATGTGGGGGGAGATGCTAAGTATGTGTCAAATGGCTAACATGCTATTATACAGAATACATACTGAAAGCAAACAAAAAAACTGGGTAAGAGAAAATAAATGATTTGGATTTCTTTTACAACTTAACGTGTTAGAAAATCTCTTTTTAGTAACCAAAGAAAGGAAACTGAATCATTGGTTTTCTATCAAATTAGCGACGTATTTTTATTAGTTTAAGATAATGCTCATTTGTCACTGATGTAGAAGTGAAACAGAAATCATCAGACAATGATGTAGACATACTAGTGTTTGGTTCATATTTGGACTTTTTTTTACTAAGAAAATGAAATTCTAACACAGATATTTATAATAAAGCACTAGAAAATTTAAAATAAGGATAAGATTACATCCTCATACAACAGAATATCAGTATTACTCAGCCATTAAATTGACTCTTTCAGACACTTTTTAATGACATAGGAAAATATGCACAATTTGGTAATAATGGAAAATAGCACAATGCAGGAGGAGGCAGGCAGAATAATAGCTTTGGAGTCAGACAACCTGAGGCCAAACTGTGGACCTGCCACGTAATAGCCTGTAACTCCGGGCAGATCAAGGCCCAATCCTAGTTTTTCATATATATATAGATGGGGACGATACAACTTACCTCTCAGAGCTATGGTCAGATTTAAACAAAAATAAATGCAAAGCCTGTGTGAGCCTAACCTATTGCTGTTGAGTCGATTCCGACTCATAGCGACCCTCTAGGACAGAGTAGAACTGTCCCGTACGGTTTCCAAGGCTGTAATGTTTACAGAAGCAGACTGCCACATCTTTATCCCACGGAGCGGCTGGTGAGCTTGAACCACTGACCTTTCAGTTAGCAGCCGAGCACTTAACCACTGCGCCACCAGGGCTCCTTGTCTGAGCCTAAGCAACCAACTAAATCACCTGATGGCAGTTCTTATCAGTACGACTTAGACAATCTTGGAGAAGGGAGACCTTTTAAAGTCCATCTAAGACTCCCAAACCGTAATTCCTTTAAAGTGGCAACGTTATTACTGGGCTTTACAGAGTTAAATGTGGGATTTCATTATTAATTCAGCATTCTAAATTGGCTAATAACCTATAAGAGGCGAAAAGTAACTGCGCAGATGGGGCCGGCATCAGACTTGCTGATCAACAGGGATGTGTACTACACAAGTCCTACCTCAACAGATCCGTGGATTTCAAAATCAAAGGTGCCATGGAATACTGAAGATAAAAGCCATTTGCACCTTATAGCCATTCTTTAGTACAGAAACGAGAAGAGTGCCTTGAACACAATAAGACCACTTCAAAAATAACAGACAACACAACATTAAATGTGGCTGATTAAAACGGCTTACCTTCCACAATCTAGCTGCTCTGGCGGGCCACTCATCAAAGTTCAAAATAATCATAGGGTACTATTTTCAGAAAAACCACAGGCATTTTCACTCACCTTCAATGTAGAGGGGTTCTACAACGTCGTGGTTAATGAGCTCAAAGTTCTCGTGGCCAATCCAGTGTTCCACGTTTCTCTTCCTGCCCGTGAAGAAGTTGTCCACCACTGTCACCTCGTGCCCATCCATCATTAGTTTGTCAGTTAGGTGGGAACCCACAAACCCTGCACCTCCGGTTATCTGCAGTAGGTCCGTGTGCATAAAACATTCCCAGAAAAAAACACAAGAGGACATGATGAAGGCAGACTTTACAGAGTTACAACTTGGGTGCCCAAAAAACCAAACCAAACCCATTGCTGTCGAGTCGGTACCGACTCATAGCGACCCTACAGGACAGAGTAGAACTGCCTCACAGGGTTTCCAAGGAGCGGCTGGTGGATTCGAACTGCCGACCTTTTGGGTAGTAGCCAAGCTCTTAACCACTGCGCCACCAGGGGTCCATCTTGGGTGCAGCCACACTTAAAATTTGGGAGCAGGGAAAGGAAGAAAGCCAGTAAAGGTTTTAAAAGCAGCATCTTTGTTCTTACTCCAGAGCAGTAAGTCATACTATCTCAAAGCTTCTAAAAAAAAATCCATTGGCGTCAAGTCAATTCCGACTCATAGCAACCCTAGAGGTCAGAGCAGAACTGCCCCATAGGGCTCCCAAGGCTGTAATCTTTACAGAAGCAGACTGCCACATCTTTCTCCCGTGGAGCAGCTGGTGGATTAGAACCGCTGACTTTTCGGTTAGCAGCAGAGTGCTTAACCACTGCACCACCAGGGTTCCTTCCAAACGTGTAAGTAACCTAAAAATTAAACACTATCACTCAGTAAATAATACAGAAAACATAGTCCTTACAATTTTCAGAACATTTTCCTTGACACAGCATTTTATAGTATTAAAAGGTTCTTGTCTTATGATGGAAGCCCTGGTGGTGTAGTGGTTAAGAGCTATGGCTGCTAAACAAAAAGTCAGCAGTATGAATCCCCCAGGTGCTCCTTGGAAACCCTATGGGGCAGTTCTACTCTGTCCTATAGGGTCTCTGTGAGTCGGAATCAACTTGACGGCAATGGGTTTGGTCTTTTTTGGTTTTGTCTTATGACAGATATGATATGTTGTACATTACTTATATAGTTCTAATATTACTACTGCAAAGTTAACAATTACTTTTTAAAAAAATCAGCAGTAAAATGCAAAGACTTGGTGAACTACCAAAAAAGTATGCTGACATTTAAACTGGGCTAAAAAATGTCACAAAAAACTAGTATCTTTCAAATTGTCTATAAGAACAAATTAATAAAGAATAGGTGCTGTTTGTGGACTGAAGTCCCAAATGATGAAGTTTCTGGGTTTGGTTAACGTCTGAACAGGAACGCCAACACCATGTAGTGATGACTCTCCACCCAAACGATCCAGCTGACAGGGGTCACAACAGGAGTTCAGCAACAACATGTTTTCTTAAACCTTAAACTACAACAAATGGGAAAAGCCAATTACGTCTTTAAATATAAAAAGATTTTATTCAAATTATATAGTATAATTGGAAGGGGCTAGATAGAAAGTACTTCATTTTGGGAAAGGGCATTGGGGGTAGGAGAGAAAAGAATACCCACAGAAAGCACAATTTTGCATGTGAAACTATATTCTCTACCCTATTCCATTCTCCACTATGCCTTCTCTGCATTAGCAAAATTCTAGTTCACCCCATGTTTCAAACTAAAAGAATTACCAGTAGGAGAAACACCAACTCTTTTAACCTAAAATAAAAACACATAAACCCTTATAGGTCTATGGTTTAAAACTATTTAATTCACCCTCTGTTCAAACAAAATCTCAGAAATAATTACAATGTTTGTAACAGGTGAAAGCAAAGATGTCCAGGGTAAGGAAGACTGACAACATCAAGCCTGTCCCAAGAAGAACTATTCCTCAACCACCAAACACATATTCATATGTACTTTGATGAAAATATTAACATAATGGTTTAGAACGTGAATGGTTGAGAAAGCAGTCCTGCTGGTCACCAACTTCCATTGAGCTAAATGCATTCTTTGCTGAGAGCACCTTAGATTTTTCTAATCCCCTTTGCTTTACAGATAAGAACTGACTCCCAGAGAAGTTGAGTTTTTGATCAAGATCACTAGTAAAGGTAGAAAAACCTAGAGTTTTCCTAATTACATATTCTCTCCACTATCTGTCAATTTGCTAGTTCGTGTTTTATCTTTAGACTCCTACATTTTATCTGTATGCCTGAACAATGGCTATGAAAAAAGATTTCCAGAAAAATAACTGATTGCAAATTTGGCTCGCTACTAGATCTTAACTCAGGGGGAGGGATGTCATTTTATTTTACCTTCATTTTACTGCATTTTTCTAACTGTTCTAGTTTTTTAATCAGAAAACCTATCTTCTTAGATAGAAATTTAACCACTTTTAATGTAACTCTATATCTATATGCAAATGTTTATTAAAATAAGAGGTTCTGTTTCACTTTATCACTATCCCTGAAATACCTAGCTGTCAGCTCAGAGCTAGCAGAAATGCAGTGTACTGAATTGTACATGGTTGCCTCCAACATTTCACTACTTTCAGTAGTGGCATAAAATTATTTGAAGCACTTCAGTCTTGATTAAAATGCATTTGAAGTGTTTTTCGTGAGTAATTCCCTTCTATCTAAAATATTTGGGGATTTATGTAACATAGCTGGATGGTTATAAAAAATTTTTTCCTAATCAATTTCAGGCCATTAGGCAAGCATTTAAAATAGAAACAAAACTGAAGGTGGCTTAGCACTTAACAAAGCCTCCTCAGAAAAACTAATCACCAAACTCAAGCATACCCTTTGAATAACAAGGAGCTAACACCTAAAAGATGGTAGAAGAAGAGACTTTAACACCTCTTACAACGAAATGAATTAGAAGAATTTACGCAGACTTGCATGAGCTCATTTCGATGTATTCTTACTTCTTGCTCTTGTGGGTGCTAACAGGCAGCTAAAGTGGTCTAGTTCAAGGTCAGCATTCAAACTCATGGCCGCTCAGCAAATTAGCAAAAAGAATGAACTTCCGAACAAACCTCTTCATTGTGTTAAGGCTTCAACAGTTACTGACAAGGCTTTAAGTTTTAGCAACAATATATTCACATTCCAGAAGCAGGCAACAAATGACTCTACAATGTGGTTTAACCTATGAGATGTCAGATGATTGAAAAACACCAAGTCCATTTGTTGTGGTTATTTGAAAAGTGAAGTAAACTCTATAGCACTCAGCATCAAGAGGATAATCATCTCGTGTGGAAGGACTTTATTATTATGAGTAAAAATAACCCTTGCAAGACTGCAAGGTTTGTACATCAGTGTAGTCATCAGATTTTCTAACCAAACTGACACACGGCAGCAAAAAGATTATAAAAATTAACTTCTCTCTGCTACCAGCGACACTGATATATTTCTCAATTCTTGTTCAAGTGCATACGCATTTTTGATGAGACAGAAATAACCCAAAAAGTTGAGTACACAAGGGTAACAGACTGCAGAGTCTGCTCAGGGTGAGATTTATGCAAGCCATCTCAAAACTGCAAGCGACCTTCTATAACTTCTAGAAGAAAAGGGAGGTTATGTGGGGAAACAAACTGACATTCATGCAGGAGTAAAACTATTGTTTTGGTGATTGGGATGCATGGTCTTAAAACATAGATGATGGCGAAAAGAACAATAACCAAAAACAACTTTGTGTACTAACCATTTATATATCAAGGACACAGACAAAAAATTTTCTTGTGGAATAGCAATGGAAGCAGTACCACAAACGTCTTCCCCAGCAAAACAACCATGATTGGTGAACATGATTAAAAAATAAAACAAAATAAAAAAAACAACCATTTAAAGTCTCTGAATACAACAAATGAAGAAATGTTTACTTAAGACCTAAGAAATCTTGGTAAGGAGAGCAAGTCTGTGGCACTTGAGCCATGCTCCACTCCTACTCCCCCACCAGTGACAGGTCAGTAAACACAGAAAAAGCTTTTAACAAAAAGGAACACCCCTTCAGATAAAAAACACTCAACAGAACAGGACTAGAAGGGAACTTCCCTAGCCTGATAAAGAGCAGCTACGCAAAAACCACAGATAAACATTAAATATCATACTTCATGTTGAAAAGACGGTGCTTTCTCCCGAAGATTAGGAACAAGACAAGCAGGTCTGCTCTTGCCATTTCTACTCAACATTATACTAAAGGTTCTAGTCGGGACATTTAGGCAAGAAAATGAAAGAAAAAGTATTCATATTGGAAAGGAGGAAGTTAAAATACCTCTATTTGCAGAAGACATGATCTCATATATAAAAAATCATAAGGAATCTATTAAAAACTATTAGAATTAACCAATGTGTTCAGCGAGGTTGTAGAATACAAGATTAATATACAAAAATCAATTGTATTTCTATACACTTGCAATAAGCAATCCAAAAATGAAATTAAGTAAACAATTCCATTTACAATAGCATCAAAAAGAATAAAATACTTGGGAATAAATTTAACAAAAGAAGTTCAAAACTTTTTCTCCGGAAATTACAAAAAAATTGTTGAAAGACTAAAGAAGATCTAAATAAATGGAAAGACATCTCATGTTCATGGACTGGAAAACTTAATGTTGTTAAAATGGCAATACTCCCCAGATCAATTTACACATAGATTCATGGTAGTTCCTATCAAACGCCCAGCTGACTTTTTTTGCAGAAATTGACCAGCTGATCCTAACATTCATATGCAAATAGAAGGGATACAGAACAGCCAAAATAATTTTGAAAAAGAAGAACAAAATTGGAAACTACACTTTCCAATTTCAGATCTTACGAAGTCACAGTTATCAAGATTATGTGGGACTGGCATAAAGATAGACATGCAGGTTGATGGAATAGAGAGCCCAGAAAATACTTACATTTATAATCAATTGATTTTTGACAAGGTTGTCAAGACAATTCAATGAAGAATGATTAGTCTTTTCAACAAAGGAGTCTGGGACAACTGCATATCCAAATGCAAAAGAATGAAATTGGAACTCTACCTCACACCATGTTAAAAAAAATTAACAAAAAATGGATCGCAGACCTAAATATAAGAACAAAACTATAAAATTCTTAGAAGAAAACACAGACATACATGTCTGTAACCTTTGGCTAGGCAATGACCTCTTAAACACGACACCAAGCATAAGCAACGAAAGAAAAAACAGACTTCAGTAACATTAGAAACTCCAGTGTTTCAAAGGATATAATCAAAGAAGTGAAAAGACAACCTAGAGAATGGGAGGAAATACTTACAAATAATATATCTGATATCTAGAACATGTAAAGAACACTTACAACTCAATATAAAAAAGAAAAATAACACGATTAGTGGATTAAATATCTGAATAAAAATTTCCCCAAGGAAGAGATATAAATATGGCCAAGAAGTACGTGGCTGACAGTATTAGCTGCCAGGGAAATGGAAATCAAAACCACAATGAGATACCACTTCACACCTGCTAGGAAGGCTAGAATCAAAAAGACAGATAAATAACAATAGCAAGTGTAGATGAGGATGTGGAGAAATTGGAACCTGCTGGTGACAATACAAAATGATACAGCTGCTTTAGAAAACAGTCTGGCAGTTCCCAAAAAGGTTAAACCTGCAGTTACCATATGACCCATATAATGAATGGATAAATAAAACGTGGTATATACATACAATGGAATATTATTTTGCAATAAAAAGAAATGGAATACTAATACATGTTACAACATGGATAAACTTTGAAAACGTAATGCCAAGTGAAAGAAGCCAATCACCAACCACCATATAGTGTATGATTCAGCTACATGAAATATCCAGAACAGCAAATCCATACAGACAAAAAGCAGATTAGTGGTTGCCTAGTGCTTGGGATGTAGAGGAATTTGGGGGAAATAAGGACTGACTGCTTACGTGTATGGGGTTTCTTTATAGGGTGATGAATATATTCTGAAACTGGTTGTAATAGTGGTTGCACAAGTCTGTGAATATACAAAAAACCACTGAACTGTACACCTTAAATGAGTGAACTGTATGGTATATGAATTGCATCTCAATAAAGTAGCTATTAAAAAGAAAAGAACACAAAAACGTCAACCTCTTTGTATACCCTTTCTATGCAATAGTTAAATGGGCTTCTTTCACTGGTGAATTTATATAGATGCTTAACAAGTAGATTAAGAACCAGCATGTTTATCAAAATGTTCTATGAGCCAGAAAAGTTGAAACACTACTACTCTGGAAAACAGCTCCACATTTCCTCAAGAAGTTAAACACAGGATTACCATATAATCCAGTATTCCCACTCCAAGGTGGAAAATACCCCCAAAATTGAAAACGTATGTCCACACAAAAACTTGTACCTCTATGTTTACAGTAGCACTATACATAACAGTCAAAATATAGAAACAACCCCAAATCTCTATCAATTCAAAAATAAACAAAATGTGGTACACAACCATGCAATGAAATATTACTCAACCACAAAAAGGAATGAAGTACTCCTAGATGCTACAACATGGATGAACCTTGAAAACATTAAGCTGAGTGAAAGAAGTCAGGCATAAAAGACCACATATTATATGATTTTATTTTTATGAGATGTTTAGGAAAATCCAGAGACAGAAAAGAGATGAGTGGTTTCCAGGGGCTGGGGAACAGACAATGAGAAGTGACTGTGAATGGGTAAGGGGCTTCTTTCTGGGGTGATGGAAGGGTTTTGGTATTAGATTGTGGTGTTGTTGCACAATTCTGTAAATATACTAAAAATCACGAACTATACACTTTGGAGGGGTGAATTTTATGGTATGTGAGTTGCATTCAACAACAAAAAAAGAACATTTCTTAACATTACAACTACTAATCAGATGTGCAAACTTACCAAAATTCGCTTACGGTCCTTTTCTGATAAAAATTTTACTGGCGGGTATTTCTGGGTGAAGCTGTATAACATGAAGAGATTTAAAAAAAAAAAAAAAAATCAGAGAGCTCATGTGAATATTTTCTCCACTGACCATCAAAATAAATGCCAGATTTTGAAAATGCTACTTCTCGCTACTTCTCTCTACCACAAAACAAGCACACTGGGAACCAAAGAGTCACTGGCCAGCCTGAATTCAGGTAGCATTGAACCTACTCCTTGTTTGGGTTATGACTTGACATTGTACCCAGGAAAAGCCGAGGAGGCACCAACTCCACCAGTTCAATGAACAGCACAACATGAGGGAGGAGGAAGGATTCTCAAAATGTTATTTCAGGGCCCGGAACAAAGAGAGCAGCTGCATGAAGTCACAGCCCCCATGCAGGAGACTGTGTCGAGTAAGAAAGGAAAATATTAACCAAGTTTCTTCACCCTTTTCTGGGCATTTTTCATATTCCATCATCCCCCTTCCTGCACCATGCACCTGGGCAAAACGATATGGCATCAACACTCTCTGGGTCTCATGGTCTTCTCTGAACCTATCTTAAGTCTCACATCCACCTTATTTTTCAATGCCCTCTCAGCTCCCCTAAAGGTGTCATGGGTCCCCAATCCACAATGATTTTCCAGAAGTAAGGCGGTATAACTGGCATATAAAACATTAAATGAGAGTTAATAAGGGAAGATTTGAAATACCTATTCTCAAAGTGGTCCAGTCAGAAACAAAAATCCTTTAAGTAAAATCAGAGGAATCAGCTTAATATTTATTTTAACTGCAGAAGCACTGGGGCAGGAGGCACTGTTTCCAGTCCCTGGTCCCGGCATGAACACAGTGCTAGGATACGAATGCACTTCCTTAATGACTGCTGAAGTGAACAGAGCATGACAGATCATTATGCAGAAGACCTTGAAACAGGTTCACATTCTCAACTTCTGAAAGACTGGAAGCATGCTTACATTGGAGCAGAAGGGCTTTCTTTTGCCATGTAGAAGTAATTCCCCTATTAAGAGCTTACACATTCTTACAAGGTCAAGTCACTGCTGCAGACTAGAAAAACAGGTAGGCATGTGGGAGAGGCTGAAGGAATGGGTGAGAAAGAATCCTCGCCTTCTCCCTTGTTAGCTCTATGACCCCAGCGCAAGACACCTAACAGCTTCTCAGGGCTTCCTACTGTGTCAAAACCAAACCCGTTGCCAACCCACGGCGACCTTATAGAACAGAGCAGAACTGCCCCATACGGTTTCCAAGGAGCGGTTGGTAGATTCGTACTGCCAACCTTTTGGTTAGCAGCCGAGCTCTTTATATAACTACTATGCCGCCACCAGGGCTCCTTCTGTCAAGGGAGGTGATAACAGCACCTGCTTCACCGGGTGCTGGGATCAAGGACTGTCGAGTCTTTAGCACAGCACCCAGCCCATGGGAAGTAGCACTTCTGTCAACTCATCTACTTGTTCAGCTGGGAAATGGCAAAGTAACTCCTACCATCTTCTGCGAAGCACCCCTCAGACCTGTTCCAATTGTCCCCTGATCTTCTCTGAGCTCCCCACATCCATGACTCCAGCCTTAACTCCAGAAGTTCCACACCACAACTAAACTTCTCTTTCTTCCCAGCCTGGCCCTCTCCCTACCTTCCCACCTGCCCAGCAGCACAACTACTCTTTAGGACTGTGGCAGAAACACTGGCACCATCTTTGACTCGTCACTTTCTTTCATTCACTGTGGAAGTTCACGAGAAACAAAATTCTCTACAATCTCTATGATCAGAGAAAGTGTCACAGGGCAAGGGGGATTCCAGCTGAACACTGAAAAATGAAGTGGAGAGAGAGGAAACTATCGAGTAAGACCAGGACGTACGCATCAGAGGCAGTGAGAACACCAACGTGCCCACTGAAGCGGACTTTATTACTGCTAGCTTAGAGTAGCGCCAGTCTGAAAGCTCAAAATCAAATTTGAGATGCCATTTATACCATAAAGAAAACAAACAGCTTTTTTTTTTGTTTTTTTAAAGTAGGAAATATACTTGGAAGAAATAAAACTTAAGCAAAAGCATAAATCGTCTGACACACATGGTTTCCGGTGTAGGATGG